TCTCTATGTCATTTACCTCTGCTCTGATCTTATTAATTCCTTTCTTCTGCTTACGCTGGGCTTTTTGTTGTTGTTGTTGCCCCCTTTCTAACTCTTTAAGTTGTAGAGTTAGATAATTTATTACCATTTTTTCTTGTTTTTTTGATGTAGGCCTGTAGAGCTATGAACTTCCCCCTAAAGACTGCTTTCCCTGTGTCCCATATATTTTGCATTTTTGTAGATTCTTTGTTGTTTGTTGCTATGATGCTTTTTATTTTCTATTTGATCTCTTTGGTAACCCAGTTATTGTTAAATAACATGCTATTTAGCTTCCAGCTGTTTGATTTTTTAATTGTTTTTATTGTTGTTGATTTCATGTCTTATGCCACTGTGATCTGAGAAGATACTTGATATGATTTCTATCTTCTTGAATTTGTAGAGACTTCGTCTGTGACCCAATATATGGTCTATCTTTGAAAATGACTGATGTGCACTTGAGAAGAATGTATATTCTGTGGTTTTTGGTTATTATGTTCTGAAGATGTCAATTAATTCCATCTGATCTAGTGTGTCATTTAGGATTGATGTTTCTTTGCTGAATTTTTGTTTAGAGGATTGTCCAGTGTTGTTAGTGGGTGTTAAAGTCCCCTACTATAATTATATTGCTGTCAATCTCTCCCTTAATATTCTCCAAAAGTTTTTTTTATGTATTTGGGTGCTCCTTTATTGGGTGCATATATATTTACCAGAGGTATATCTTCTTGTTGAATTGCTCCCTTTAGTATTATGAAGTGTCCTTCCTTATTGCTTGTTATGTCCTTCACTTTGAGGTCTAATTTGTCAGATATAAGTATTGCTACCCCAGTTTCTTTTTCACTTCTATTCATCTGTAAAAGCTTTTTCTATCCCTTCACCATCAGTCTATGTGTGTTCCTTGTTCTGAGGTGATTCCCTATAGACAGCAGATGTATGGGTCATGTTTCCTTAAGAACTCAGCTACGCTATTTCTTTCTATTAGGGTATTTAATCCATTTACAGTTAAAGTTATTATTGATAGCTTCTTGTTTTCACCATTTTTATTCTTTATGCCTGCGTTCCTTCTTCCCTTCCTTTTCTTCCTTTTACAGAAGACCTTTTAGCATTTCTTGCATTGCTGCTTTGGTGGTAATAAACTCCCTTCATCTTTTTTTTGTCTGTAAAGCTCATGATTTCACCCTCAATTTTGATTGATAGACTTGCTGGGTACAGTATTCTTGGATTCAGACTTTGAATGACTGTATATTTCATTCCATTCTCTTGCTTTGCATGACTTTGTATATTCCCTTCTGACCTGATGTGTTTCTGTTGAGAATTCTGTTGAGAAGTCTGATGGGGAATCCTTTGTTGATAACTTTCTGTCTCTCTGTGGCTGCCTTTAAGATTCTTACTTTGTCATTGGTATTTGCCAGTTTAATTATGTGTCTTTGTGTTGATCTTTTGTAGTTAATTTTTGGGGGTCTTTGTGAGCTGCTTTGACTTGTGTGAGGTTTTTTCTCCTATATCAGGGAAGTTTTCTGTCATTATATCTTCAAACTGGTTTTCCAGTCCTTGCTCAGTTTCCTCTTCTTCTGGGACCCCTATTGTGTAGGGGATATTGTTTTGTTTTGTGTAGTTCCAAAATTCCCTTAGGCTCTCCTTCTGTTTAGGTTTTTTTCTAGATGCTGCTCTGCTTTTGTAGTTTTTTCTACCTTGTCTTCTAGGTCACTGACATGATCTTCTGCTTCTTCTAGTCTACTATTGATGGTTTCTATTGAGTTCTTTATTGCAGCAATGTCATTTTTCATTTCTTCTTGGTTCTTCTTCATTTCCTCTTGGTTCTTACACATATTGTTGAATTTGTCTTCCAACTTTTTCAATGTCTTATGACCATTGCTCTGAATTATTTCTTTGACATATTGCTTGCCTTCATTTCATTTACTTTTCTGGTGATGTCTCATTTTCTTTTGTATGAGGGCTGTTTTTTTGTCTCCACATGTTTTCTCCTCTCAGAGTTTCTGTTTATGTAGCTCTCTCTCTCCTGCATTGACTTAAAAGCACTAAATACAACACACCATGGCTCAACGCATAAGGCATTGGACACAGATGTATTCACAATATAATATCCCCAAATAAAGATGATCGCCAGAGAAGAGAGAATTAGGGGATATTTTTAAAAAAAAAATGAGTGCAAAAATAATATTGAAAGAAAGAAAAATGTTAGAGAGGAAAGAATGAGAATAAAAGAGAAGGGGGAAAATATATGTGTATGGGGAGAAGACTCCAGTACAATAACAACCAATCCAGAGATGAATGCAAACTACAAACAACAACTAATTTAAAAAATGAAAACAGAAAACACCTAAACAACAAACACCCACATGAATCTGAGGGGTCAGAGCTTATTTCCAGAAGGTAAGGTCAAGGAATTGAATGAATGGAGAAATAGCCACAATTCAGTATAGAAGAGGTAAAAGAGAATGAGTGTATAAGATAAAAAGTAAAAAAAAAAAACAAAAAAATATTGGAACAGGAGAATAAAGAGTAGATAGGCCTGAGTTGTTGATTGGAATTATTTAAACTATTCATAGAAGATAACACACGAGGAGAGAAAAAACAAGCAAAATAAAAAGAATAAGAAAAAAACCCAACTCATCAACAATCAACAACAACAACAGGACAGAGAGAACGTAGCAGGTAAAGCAAAAAAACATAAAACAAAAACAAAGAAAAAGGAAAGGGGGAAAAATTGTATAGTTAAGAAAGAGAAGAGTGAAGTGTGTGTGGACTTGGAGCAGGGGAGTGGAAATTAGATATGTAAGTAGGATAAATATTTAACAGCGGGTAAAAAGAAAGGATAGGGAAAAACTAAGGCAGGAATAAGATAAGAGAAATATAACAACAAAAGAGGAAAAGTGAGGAAGAGAGTGTTGCCATAAAGGTAAAATTGAGATAGAGTAAAATAATGCTAAAGGAAAAATGAAAATAGAATGTAGAACACTAATTCCAAAATAAAATAAAATAAAACTTTAAAAGAAGTAAAATAATAGTAGCAATAATAATAATTAAAAATATAATAAAGGTAAAATCAAGTGAGAAAAAATAAGTTTCTTAAGTAAAAGTTAAAAAAAAAAATTATGTGCAGTAGAGAGGGTCATTTGCTTCCTCTACAGTTCTGTTTGGCATGTCTGTTTCCTGTCAGATAGTCAGGATGGTATTGAAGTTCCCCAAGATCCACCGCCTCTTTGTGTTGTAAGCCACAACCCTGTTTTCAAGCAGGCAGAATTTCTTTGTTTCTCAGCCTGCCTTTAGTTGTATTTACACAAGAGTCAATTTGTGCTTCAACCCCTGAGTTGCCGTGTTTCTGTATTGACATTCAGGGCTAAAAGTTCTCTCCAACCAGTATATACATTTTGTTTTCCCTGCCTCACTTAATACTGGCTTGGGGGAATGAACTGTCCCAGAACTGGTTTTCTGTTCTCTCTCCACTCTGATCCCCAGGTTCCACAAAAAAAAGTTTCCCCCACAGTCTCTGTGTTTTTAATTGTAAGATCCTATGTACTGGGCTTAATAATCAAAAGCAAGGATTTAAAAACAACAACAAAAAGCCAAAGTAAGTGCATGGACTAGCAACTTTTTCCTCAGCACTGTGTGTGTCTCTGCTCACATCTTTTTCCCCTGACACTGTGCAGCCGGTACTTCAGGCTGCCTGTCTGTGTCCTGCCCAGCTGTAGGTTAATTTCTAGAGTTCCCTCTGCCAGCAGCTCTGTGGACACCTTTCCACATTTTCAGGCTACACTGACTCCAACTGCTGCAGATTTTGTGGGGTATAGTCTTCCTCTGAAACTCTAGAACCAACTGCACACTTTTCTCCCTCCAGCCTGGATCCCAAACCTCACCTTTCCCTAGGCGATATCTGACCTATTCCTCCATGGGTTAGCTCACCAGCTGTGTTTAATTTGCCAATTCCAAGTGGGCGTAGTTCGAGTTAACTGTTCCTTCTATCTGCTCTGTGAGAAGGTGCAGTGCTCTTCCACATCCACATATTTGCACCTGGACAGACTATTTAAGCACCTGAGGTTGGGGTGGCTGGAGACCCAGGGTGTTTGTGGGTTCACAGTTGAGGCAGCTGGTCCCTGGGTGTTGTGGTTGTAGGATCTCAGGAGGTATCTGAGGTGTCACCTTCAAGATGATGCAGTCTTTGTGGCAGAGCCAGCTGCTCTGTGAGAGATTTCAGCAGCAGTAGAGGCTGCCTGGCCAGGGGAGCTGGTCCAGAAGTCCCCAACAGTCCCTTGGAATATAGCTGTCTCTCACTCACAAATGGACACTCCCTGCACATCCACTCACTCTCCTTTTGTTCTCTCACTCACACACTATTGTGCAGCCTGTCCCATTGGCAGCCATCTTGAATCTCCCCACAATAAATATTTTTGAGATGCAGCAAATATAATGGTATGTAAGAAACATTTTAATAAATCTTTTTTAACTTAATTTTTATAATATTCTGTTATACATAATTATTAATAATGAACTACAATGTTTGCTGATGACTGATTACTATAATCATGTTGCATTCATTTCACTTACACACCTTACACACAGGCACACCATTTACCTACACTAATACTAGCAGGGAATATTTTAGCAGCCAATTGCCATGTCATTAATCTTGTACTGACTTTTTTGGTGGGCACAGAATGAAATATTTCACTTTCAGAGAACAAGAAAAATAGGTTTATTTGCATTACGCTTATTAATTTGTGTAGTTATACAGTGTCTGGTAAATTGATCTTC